ATATATTATATAGGTACATAAATAAATATGTATAATATATGGTCTTTACTGAGTAGAGTTGGTAGCTCAGATGTTTGTGCCCTGAAGATGTATACATACATATGTATGTATATATGTACATATTTATGTGTATGTACATACATATATTCGTATACATGCATATGTATATATGTATATTTTTGACAAATCGAAAACGATTTCTATTTCAATATATGCATGTACATACACCACATAATTGGCGGCAAAAAATTTGTTTTTTTACTATATTGGGTTGAATGTTGAATCGTATAGTATCTAGAGTCATTCTAATTTGTGTGACTCAAGTATCTCAATTACAGACGCTCTTTGTTCATGTTCATTGCTAGCACTAACCACAGTGCTGTGGGATTGTATCACTAATATAGACTAACAACATTAAGAGGGGTTTGATATTATACTCGCTTGTGATTCACTCTGAATTCTTTGTTCGCATTTATATATATGTACATATAGGAACTATGATTTAAAAACTTCGCGCGCCCATTTTGATACACAGTTTTTGCTGCATTGCGAGTTATCAGCTGCTCGTAATGTCTGAAACGCGGTATCGATATTATTATGTTTACAACGATACTATACATATGCGTCTCGCTCACAATAGAGTAAAGAATTTTGTGGTTGGCTTTATTAATCTCTCTGCGCATGTCGTCACAAGTTAAATGTTTATTTACAAGTTATGTGATGCATCTTAGAAGAATAACCTAAGGCCATCCAGAAGTAAATATAAATATAGCTTGTTTTCATATCTCAACATATATATTTCTAAATTGATTTGTGTAAAATGTTTACAAATACTGTAAAATATTGTGCTTTACACTTTAACTAATGTGTAATTGCTAATGTTTATATTTGAACATCAAAATTCTTAAAATGTAAGTTGACGTTAAAGAATAATCAACAATTTTTCGGCTGCTTACCGTTCGAATTCAAAGATATTACGCTGTGACGTCACATCTTCCATAGCTTAGTCTCTCTTGCGAATGCCGACGATAGCGGGACCTGCGCGATGCAACCCTCATATTCATTAAACAGCGGTCGTCGTTGTCGTTGCTCTCGCGCGGATGTCGTCGTTGCTCTGCCGACTTATTGTTATTGTTTTTAGTTAAAGTGCTAGTGTTTTATTTTTTTTTATTTTATTATTTAGCAACTCAAGACACGCATTTGCTCCAACTGGTAAAGTTAATATTTAATTGCAATTAACAACACAGTGCTCTCATGTGTGTCTGTTTGTGGGAACGTATCCATGTGCATGTGTGTGTGATAAACAGAAATTGGGTTTTGCCACTGGCCAGCTGCATACTAACTACAAAATACTCACACATACAAATATATAAATACATATATACTTAAACTAGTTAAGATATTAAAGTATGTTTGTACATAACAAAAACGAATGGCAGTCGCCGCAGCAGCAGCATCAGCAGCTAACAGCAATGTTGTGTTTGTAATACATATACCATTTGTGTTGTTATTTTTTCTGAATACTTTTTTTTAACGCATAACGGCCTGAGCAAGTGTGCATGATATATATATATA